CCAGAGTCCTATGTTGTAGCTCCCATAGACTTGGCAATTTCCACTGTTGAAAAGTGATAATATATATTATTTTTAATCGTCTTTACTATTATTTTCTATTGCTAGCCAAATAATTAGTAGATCATGATATTACGTGTGACATGTGTGTGACCTCCTCGACACGCTGCCAACTCGCAGCCTACTTATGTCCTTTGCCCGCAAAAACCTCTTAATTTGTTCCTATAACGGTCTTCGATGACCGCCTTCTCGAGATTGCAACTTGCGGCCGCTCTCCTTGGTAAGGATCAGTCCTCCATGTCCACGTTGCCCTCACTCAACTCGCTGCAGAATATGACAATGACCCAGATGACCCAAATCCACCTCGAAAAGCAGAGCATAGCGCATTATTCTCACACATTCGTACTCGAAATGCCCCGCGTGCACGCACCTTGTCTGGATTTGAACACCTTCGTGAAACACCCAATCTTCTTGGAGTCGAACTGCCCGTTAATGAAGCAGCAAGTAAACGGGGATCTATGGATGCACGTCGATCAATGGCAGGCACAAGAAATTCTAGGGGCTCTATTGACGTCCTGCGTAACCCTTTTGGCGGTGACGATGCCCCTGAGTCTGAGATGGGAGCCGAAGATGAAGAGTACGAGGAAGAAGATTTGGAGGTAGACCTGGAGGCATGGGGCATGGCAAATTTATTAGGGGAAGAGAAACGAAGCTCGAAGAATAGGCGAACAGGCACCGGCACAGGTCCGAGACAACGAGTGCTTTCGAAGACTCAATCTGACGTGCTACCCAATGCTAATGAATTTCAAAGAGATCGTACTCGAGTCGGAACATTCGGTCATCGCCAGCAAGGCAATAGAGCCCAGAGTATGGGTGGGTTTGGTGTTATGGCAGAGGAAATTGAGGCATTGCGAGGAGGTGTAGTGGCATCTGAGGCCGACTTTCGCCGCAGGACTATCTCAGGGCCGTTAGACATAGCAGGAGGTAATGCACTGAACTTTAAGAGATCACAGGCAGCCGTCGGATTCAACAAAGCTCAACCTAATCGAGCCCTTTTACGAAGCCGCCCACATGAGCCATCACCACAGCCCATTCCATTCCCCTCCGCTGGTCAGGATGAAGATAATCGAAGTATGTTTGATATTCCTATGACGGGGCCAACTTCGCGTTTCGACCCCAAGGCAATACGTATACGGGCACTGTCAAGCGGGTCTAGAGGATCTCAGGCTATTATGAGGCAAGAACCTGCCACACCCGAAGTGTTAGATGTTCAAGACGATGACATATTTGGACCACTCTCTGATCGCGCCTCTCGATTTGACCCTAAACCCCCTGCTGATGCTCGTCCGATGTCCATGGCATCCATAGGGGGAACTTTAGGTACCCAAGGCTTTTTTGACGATCCAGCTTTCAGTGCCAGACCTCCCTCGCCTGCAAGGTCATCTCGTTTTGATCCTAAAGTAGCTGCATACACCAGAACCCGAGCTATGTCCGATGCCTCTCTTGGGTCGCGCATTCCCCTGGAGGCTGATCGCATGTCCGCTGACGCTGGGCAACTGCTAGATGGAGATCGCGAAAAGCCCCGTAGATTTTCACGTTTGGAATTAATGAGACCGAAGGTGCTTATTATGCCGAGTCCTCTGCAAGGTCGTGATGAAGACGCTGGACCAGCACACCAGCTACCAGCTGGGTTTGAGCTTTCAACGATTGGACCACCGCTGCCACCTGGGGCCAAGTCCGCAGGAAGACCGGTATCTCAGTTTATGCCATCATTAGTTGGACAGCAACCGTCCCTGCTGACACCGAACCCTCGCATGAATCTCTCATTGGCGCAACTCACTTTTCGCAATTCCCTCATGACCGACGGGCAACGCGATGTGGCCTTTGCAGATATTGAGAATAACCTTCGTCGCGCCCAAGAAGATGGGGAACAGATACTTCAGGAGGAAGATATCGAAGAGGAAATCGCAGAGGAGCAAAAACAGGCACAGGGAAAAGCTCCAGGAAAGCTTTACGGTAGAAGTTTGATGGATGAACTAGAAGCGAGGAAAGAAAAATTGAAATCAAAAAAGAGGTGTGCATTGGTTTACTATTGCCAACGTAGCATACGTATTCATAGATGATTAGAGTGTTTACAGGAGACGAAAGGCCATCTATGATGTCACGCGGTTCCGGAGGTCAACTTCGACATTCAGGGACTTTGATAGATCCCGCCACATTGCAAGAGCGGCCAGGAAGTCGGAATTTTGGATCTCGTCCTGGGCTGACGAGAAGACTTTCCTCAGGTGCAAAGCCCTTATTGAATTTCTCAGACGAAGCCATCCCCGGTGTACCAAAAGAAAATGGACGAGTGATTGGTGGTAGCAAATCTGTCTTTGGTGTGGATCAACTATGGGAGCGGGAGTTGGAGAAGCTTAAAGAGATCGAAGCCGCAGAAAGCGCGGAAGCGGAAGAGCTGCGGCATAAAGAGGAGATGAAAGCAGCCAAAAAGGGGAAGAGTAAGACCAAAAACAAGCAGCCTGTACCTATCTCTCCAAAAGAGATACCACGAATGTCTAAGGTGGCGGACCTTCCCCCGACTTTACCTGTTATAGCAAAGGCAACCACTCGACGCGAGAAACCGCCAGTGGTTGAAGACTCGGATAGCGAAATTGATAGTGAGGCTTCGGAAAATGAGGCCAAGGTGAATGCTGCAAGGCTGGCCACAACGCAGGCCGGTTGGGAATCTTCAGATGATGAAGGGCGTCGCAAACGTCTGCCAGTTCTTAGGGTGGAGAACTCTGAGAGCGAGGACGATGTGCCTCTCGCTCGCGTACTTCAGAATCCATCCCTTCGACCTTCAGGTTCGGATTCGGAGGATGAGCAACCTTTAGCAAAAGTGCTAGAGCGAAAGAGCATGGTCACCGACTTTCAATTTCATGATATCGCGAACCAACTCTCTACAGACAACAACCAGGAGGACGAGGACGACACACCACTGGCGATACGCCATCCTCGTGCTTCCGCTTACCTTCCCTCGCATGCAGGCGACGAAGACGAAGACGATAAGCCGCTGGGACTTCAACAACTTCCGCAGCAGCAGGCCCAGCTTAACCTTGTCGCGCAACAAAATCTTCTTCAACAACAGCAGATGATGATGATGCAGCCCACAATGTCTTTCGGCGCACCCTCCATGATGAGTGGATATTCTCCGTTCTTGATGAGCGCACCAACGTTTAGTGTCTCTCCCGCACTCCCCGTTCCGGAGTCACAGAAATATCAGACTGTCGACCGTTGGCGACACAATATCGAATAAGCATGCTAAAACGATACCGTATCACCTTTACTACCACCCTTGGGGTTAATCTGTTTTCCATTCCACTTTTTAAATTTGCATTTACACCGAGAGGACATTCAATTCGTGTCATGTACTATACACATCCAGCCCACTACCTACTTATACTACAAGCGACCAGTGATGATTCTAGATGCCGAAAATGCTGAGCCAGGCCTTATCAGGCCGTGAGGACGCTTCACCGCAAGAAGCTATGATATGTTTTGACGGATGCCAAGTGACCATCCCCGGCACCGTCATGGAAGGAATCCGATGCATAACCTGTCCAGTCTCCGTTGCAATCTGACGAAAATGAACGCCGTAAGTGAATTGTATTACAGGCGGCAAAAAATAAATCATACGATGTCAATGTACGTCGTTTCGGTTGCGCTAGCAATGTATTCGCCATCATATGAGAACGATAGCGAATTTACCGATGTGCTAAGATCGTGCACTCGTATATCAGACGTAAGACTGGCGCGTAAGGCAGAGAGTACTTACTCTCCTGTGGAGATGCTCTTTGCACAAAGCCATTCTCTCAAATCAAAGAAATTGATGATTGACTCTCCTCCGCCCGTTACTAAATACCTAGGGAGAAATCAGCATTGAGGGCAAGTTTTCGGAAAAATAGCTCTCATAAGCGTACTTTCCGCGGGGATCGAGTGCCAAGGCGTAGATCGCACGGACGTGGGCACCGATTCTGTCCACAACTTCTGTCTCTGGATAGCTGACGATGCGCAGCATGCCGTCCGTAGCAGAGGCGAATATCGCATCGCCGACATGGTTCCACAAGGCGATCGTGCTCAGAAGCTGGAGAGATGTGTGGGTCGCGCGTCAGTCTAACAATAATAACGGATACCAGATGACGAGTGCCTGACCGCTCCCTGTGATGTTCGAGCTGTTTCCCCAGATTTCCATTCCAACTGGCCCTCGGGACCCGTATGCCCATGTTTGATGAATGAAACTCGATCGTCATCATCCAAAACCATGATTGTTTTGGCGTCTGGCGAGTATTGAATATTAACGGGATGCCGGGAGGTATTGATGACTTGAGTAGGCCGACTCTCTGCATTGATAAACGGTCTGGTAAAGCTAAGAGATAGAAAAGGGCAGGACTTACGACGCGCGTCGTAGAAAGCCACCCGCTTGTCTTTTGTACTTGATGAACAGAGCAGTTCTGGATGTGTGGGATTCCATGCTACAAAATCGACTGCCTCTGTGTGAGCTCCCGATATTGTGGTGGTATTTCGAGGATCAAGCTGTAGGTTTTGTACAACGAAATCGGTCAATGGAGAATAGCGGGCCGAAACATGGCCACCCCCACACTTTTCTCGGGCTGCCACAATCTGACTGCCTTCTCATAACCGGCAGACGATAAGCGTCGACCATCGCAACTCCACGCAACATGGCTCAAGCTTGAAGATCGGTTTCCTGGCGCGACAGATATCGAAACTCGGACATCTCGTGGTTTAAAAGCAGAGAAATTAGGAGCCTAAGAAGTAATTAGACTAAGTCTGATTGAATTAGAGTAGATAAATTTACTATAACACCGCGAGCAGCAAAAGTTGTATGGTAAGGTGGTGTTTTAGCTTCTGTGGTCGTAGGTGCTGTAGTCATAGTTTAGAGAAGGCAAACAAAAGAGCCTCCGCGGCGTCTGCGCCATAATCTAACAAAAGTTAGAAAAAAAGAATGGCACGACCCGGGATTGAACCGGGGACCTGCAGATATCAGAAAACTTCAGTCTGTCGCTCTCCCAGCTGAGCTATCGCGCCTCCATATTGAAGTGGGATTTCTGGTCCATATTAAACATGGGAATGGTGTCAACAATAAAGTATACACTCCCGGGACTCCCCATTGACACTCCTAAAGGACCTGGGCGCCGCCAAACATGTGTTGGACTTTATCTCTAGTGTTGAATAATTATTTCGGATGCTTTCAAACGACTCTGTCTGCCTATTGAAGCACGCTTTAACCGCTTGCTTTGACATTGACATTGCACAGTGTGCTAGCAATCCACGAGGTTTTGCCATCCGTCTGAGTCGTCGCCTCCACTGATGCTTGTGTCCCATACTTCTGTTCAAGTCCTGCCGACGTCGACCACGTGTCCCTCCCATTTTGAATGAATTTTGAACATAAGTTCCTTCACATCGCTGATTTTATCGTGTAACCATCTTTGGTATCGAAACATATTCCATCTCAGTTTTCACAGATACCGCAATTGTCCTAATCCGGTCAAATTCCTATAATCTTCCCCGGAACAAAACTAGTTCCCCACTTGACACACGTCATAATCCCCCCCGTCACCCTTACCCAAGGATACATGCATAATCCTCGAGCACTCACACCGCTCAAGAAGCCCTTCACCCATATCTGGAACAATACAGATTTGAACGTCCGGGGTCAACCGCAGTCTTTGGCTCATCTGAATTTTCCGTGCCTTATGCTTCTTATCTCAAATGTCCAACTTGAACATCAGCCGCTGCTTTGTGTTCTGTGCCAAGTGCCGTTGTACGACGGTATTCCTTTCAAGTCACGAGACTGCAGTTTCATCACGTCTCTGTAGCCACCAGATCGATGGAGCCACACCTGCGAATCAGACCGTTTTTGTCCAGCGCGAAAACGGTCACCGTCCCTTGGTGGGAATTGGCATTTGGCCGCCCATAACGGTACATATTGCCATATCAGGCTCAAGTTGGTGCACTACACCACAATCACGAACATCTGCGTGGGACGCATGGACAGAAAGCGATACAATACATTATATCCATCGTGGCATTAGCTAATCCTCCCAATTAAATAAGTATAATAATATTTCTAGCCATCGAGGATTATATAAATATATCACATCCGAGGCTGGCAGTTGTCTCGCGTATATATTGTATCACGAATTCCTGTCCAAAATTCCACATCATGGCGATGCATTGAAACATGAATGCATTGAGGGGCAGAGAAGGGAAGACAGGAAGAGAAGGCGACAATAAGGGAGAACAGGGGAGGTGGCGACAACAAGGGAGGGTGGCGACAACAGGGGAGGTGGCGACAACAGGGGAGGTGGCGACAACAAGGGAGGTGGCGACAACAAGGGAGGTGGCGACAACAAGGGAGGGTGGCGACAACAAGGGAGGGTGGCGACAACACGGGAGGGTGGCGACAACAAGGGAGGGTGGCGACAACACGGGAGGGTGGCGACAACAAGGGAGGGTGGCGACAACAAGGGGGGGGTGGCGGTAACAAGGGAGGGTGGCAGCAACGAGGAAGGGCGGCAACAGCAAGGAAAGGGGCGAACACGAGGGAGGTCGGCAAAAAAAGGAAGAACCGGTCACCCAAAAACAGGAGGGAATGGCAAAAACAGGAGATAGTACAAGTTGATTCGGCAAATGCTCAATATTAATAATATAACGCCACTCCCAAACTCAGCCCTTATATTTTGAGGGTGATCTCCCCTTTTTTTTCTCCAACGCTCGCTTCTGTTCACGTTCCTGCCTGCGCAAGCTAGAGTTCGCGGTATAAATACAAGATCCTTTCCCAAAAACAAGAACAGTTACTCACCACGCTCCATGACGCAGATGCCGCATCTTGGAATCGATGCGATTGCTCTTGAATACCATTCCACAACCCACACAGGACATCGAGTCGACGATATCGGTGAGTGCGTCAAGGTGTTCCTGAGTATGGACATACTGTGCGTTACCAAAGTTCAATGTGCCTTCACGAAGTCTGTGCATCTCCTCTAGGGTTCGGTTCGAGTTATGGCATACATACAGGCATACAAGGGGTATAAAACCAACGTACCCATGGCATGGTGCGAGTCCGCGTGTCGTATCAGGTCTGACCGGTTCGAGAACCCCAACCGCCACCCTAGGCAGTGCACGTTAGTCTGTGGGTCTACCCAAGTGCAATAATGCCGCCCTTGGATGAGCAGCCCAAACCGACTCGCTGCAGTTGACGCTGTGATGGAGCGACGAGGCATACTAGTCGCCCCATGCCCTCGTCGAAGAATACAGCGACGTGGTGGCTGGCTTTTCGAGGGCGGGCTGTCGGGGTTGTGGTTGTTGTCATCAGCTTCGCACTGGGGTTCTATACTGGGGGATGCCTGGGAACGCCGCTGTGACGTGTCGGGTGAGGGCAGAGGAGTCCTTACACAACATACCTCGTTTTCGGTAAAAGTCGAAGGTGAAGGGGGCTGCCATATACTGTGCGAGGAAGAGGTGAGTGCATCTAAGAGTTGACTGGATGCTATTCCACAGACCTTTCCCTTTGGGAGGTGAGGAAGAGCGCGGTGGGACTTGGGGCAAGTAAGTTTGAGATTGACATGCGGTTATGGCGAACATTCGATAGGGGATAGCACGTTTGGAATTCATCCTTAGACCAGTTCGCAGCTCGGAGGGTCATGATAGAAACAATGGAAGGATATGAGGGGGAAAGGCAGAGGCTAGCCACCGTAAGGGAGTCGACAGACAAGGAAATTTATATGAAAGGTCAAACGCTGCAGGTTTTCAACTGAGATGCGTGTCGGGCATATTGAGGATAAGGAAGCTCGGTGTATGCGGAGATTGTAAATTTGTTATACGAATAATCCAAAGTCAAGGTCAAGGATCACAAGAGCAAATACTGATTTTGGTATTTGCGCAAAGTCCTTAGAGGTTGTTAATATTGATTTAAAAAATGGTTTTCTGGTGGCATTGCTTTGGCTTGCAAAAAAACAATAAAACAATAACCGATATCTCACAACCAAACTTACGTGATCCAATATACTAATATCCGATTAATATCTTTAGATATATTAGGAAATAGTAAAAATTAAGGTTATAAAATATCTCAATTTAGAAGAGAGCCTAAATCCAGAACTTATCTGCATTTGTCCCGTCTTGTCGCCCGGAACCTAGTATGTCCCGCTGTTCGGTCCAAAATCGTTCCGCAACACGTCCAAATATAGCCATGGTCCCCTCCACGTACCCGGCTTGTACCCAGCTTCTGATGTTCCTTCTACAGAGCGCCCCTAAAAGAGGCAGGAGGCTCTTATCTGCAAAGTGTTACAATCAGTAAAAAAAACGTCGAAACGTGATTCAGAGTAATGCGCCAGGCTATACAATAACGCCACGCTAAGCCAGGATGGGAATGATTAACGTGTTCTGAAAATGGAACCAGTCATAATATCCACTTCGCGATGCGTAGCGTGAGCCTCGCGTTCTACACACATCGGCCTCGATAGTGTGACTTCTCAGCAATATGAGGGAAAATTGAAGCAACCACCATCAACTCAAAGCTAGTAGTATTGGTTATGCGTGGAACTCGATGGAAGCCTGGATTCCACTCTAGGAGGCCACCAACGGAAGGAACGGAGTGGGTGGCAGAGGCGTTGGGAAGGGCATTATTAGACGGCTCCCAGATATCAGGCGTGGGTAAAACGTGCATTATTGCATAGTAAAGTTTTGCCGCTTATACTAACACATAGAAAGGATCTCGGCATATTCGGAATTCTTAGCGGTCTGAAAGTGAGGTTCAAGCTAGCCTTTATCCTGTCTGATCTGATCCTGTAAGTATTTTGATCACAGAGAATCAGTCAATTGCCGAACGACAAGCCAGTGTCTAGCAGCGTTCGGGAAATGTACACGGAGATCATCGGGCTATCCTTCGCAGTCTTTCACGGCTCTAAAACAGTTTGATAAATTGATCAACCCACGACCGTGGATTATACTTTCTTTGAGCGCCTCTCAGGCTTTCTGGGCTCAGGGTTCGTCTATTCATTTTTAACATTTTCAAAGAAGAGCATTGGGACTTGAGTGTGACATATGTCACTTCGCCGGGTATCTTTGGGAGTTTAGCATGATAAAATTCAGTAACAACGCATGTCAGTGAAGACCGCACATCAGTGTTCGTGCCTGGTGTCACCTGCACATATAAGCCCACGAATCTTCAATGTGACTCCTTAGTCGTTTTTACAGCTCCTTAGGCAGTGATTGAGGTGAGTTGTACTTTCTTCTACTACCAGTTAATTGATGACTTCAGGCACTTATTACCCCATTATAGGTGAACAAAATCGTTTTTACAGCCCCTTGAGCTTCGGGCATTTACTACCCTATTATAGATTCTAACAGATTATGGGTCCCCAAACTAAACTGCCCTTCAATCTAAAGCAACTTTACTTGTGCTGAACGACCCCTCTCTGTTGTCTACCGTCGACAACCCTTTGCACTGCGCTGAACGCTCCGGCCTTTCCCATTACCTGAGCTGACATCTTTATGCATCCCGAGAGATGTCTACCGCTACTACGACTACATCAATTTGTCCTATCTTCACAGGACTAAATAACTACCATATCTGGAAGATACGAGTTTCAGTGGAACTCCGACAAAAAGACTCGGAATTGTCACTGGCGTGGATCTGTGTCCAACCTCTGAGAATGTGCGACAATGGAGAGAACAAGACTAAAAAGCGTATGGTATTATACCCAGGGCTTAAGACCACACAGAGGCGAAGTACTGTTTGAAGCTATCATCAATTTGTTTGAAACCTCCAATCTTCCCTCAGCGTTCTACTTATACTATAAGCTCTTCTCATCGTCTTGGGATGGAACATCAGACATCTCCGAGTTTGTAACCTGGGCTGCGGACAATTGAGTCATGTCCCGCTTGAATGAAATTTGACGTGGACATGAAGGTCCTTCTTCTATAAACACACTTACGTCTCATCACACGCAATTACCCCCTCACTCAAACTTGCCGCAATTAATGCAATCTTATTCTCTTCGCACATTGTATGTGGTGTGATT